ACTTCCATACTGTTAGTGACTGGTAGGTAACACTTGTTTAGAAAAAAATCTTATTTCCCTGCAAATAATTTTTCTAGCTTTTCTGTGCAAGTACAACTCATGACAGAGAAGATACTAAAGGATGTATAGCTGCAAAATGGAAGTCTAATGGTGGGAAATAGAACTTCAATAGGCTGAGTGTTTTCTGTTTTGTTACAACTCACCATGACACAGACCAAAATATTTTTACATAGCTTAAAATTAAGGTAAGATGGCACAATAACACCTCATCAGCGTGTTTGGGTATAGACACCAACCGTGTTCAAACAATTCATCATTTCACAAATAACTAAAAGAATGACCGTGTGATACCTTTTTTTCTAGGATAAAATAGGCAGAGGAGTTGAATAAGATGGTCTTTAAAGATCTCTTCAAATACAAATCATCCTATAATTCTGTGATTTTATGAATGGAAAGTTATTTTTGTATGAAGGTAATAAACATGTTTATATTAAAACACAAATACTCCATCCACCCAAATAATTCACAGAATAATACAGCAAAAAATATATCAAATATTAGTTCCAGAAGGGATAGATATACCTAACTTTATCTCAATTCTAATGAAAGTGAGGGAGAAGAAATATATTTCCTTTTCCCAGTTGAAACTGACACAGATTTCCCACATCAGACTAAATATCAGAGTTCAGCTATCAATAGTACTACTCGTATTTGTTCTTTGACTTTTTAATATACCCCTACTTGCAGTGTGAACATCACCAACATGCTGAATGTACAAAAAAACTTCGTTATGAATTACATAATCATGGTTTTTACCATGATTATTCCAAATTATAGGACAGATATTGAAAAGGTAAAAAGAATCATGGTTCCTTCCCCAGCTGACTATGTATTAAAAAGCTGAATTTCATTTTATGTATATAAATTTTATGTATTTGTGATACTAGAAAGACATAAATCATGATCATTATTTCAGATATTTATATATTTGGCTTGTATCCTTTCAAATTGGACTCTTTTCACTGTATTATATTGCTTTGCACTGGGAAAAATAAAAACAAAAACAAAACAAAAAACCAAACAAACAAAAAAAACCCCACCAAAATAACAGGACACAAATCACCATCAAACAGTATAAGATAAATTTTTCCATCAGCTCCTTGATACTTGTAATTTTTAAATTAAGACTAATAAAAACTTATTTAAAGCTGCTGAAGAGATGGAATTGATCAAAAATCCTGAAGCTGTGGAAAATATGCCAAAAATCTAACCCGTTACTGCTGGGGTTATATTACTTCTGGTCATGATGGGCATAAAGAATAAATTTGAAATTTGCCTGTGGTATGCTTAGCTTTATGGAACACAACCACAACTAGTTTCACATAGGAGTAATTTCTGTAACACCATTGGTGTTAAACAAGCATAAAAGTGCAGTTTTAAACCAAAGTTTTAATTGCAATGATGTATTGAGACAAGGAGGGAATAAAGGTAGAGTGAGTGCTAGAAAGCCTCCTGCGGCAAAGCAACTGTTGGAAAGAAAACTAATCAGACACAGTTGGAAACAGTTGGCTTTGATAGACTGTAAACAGTAAAAGTCATGATTTCTCTCCAAGTCATCTGACACCTTCATTACTGCAATTACTTATTTAATGCCCCTCACATCAAGAAGCAAACACAGCTTTATTAGCTCATGCAAGCTTATTTTTTAATCTGTATTCTTCACCAGTACTTACCAATTAACACTGTGCATCAACAACCTGCATTTGTAGCAGCTGCTCAGCTAAAAATGTATTCAGATAGTAGAACAGTATTCAGAAGTTTCATACTCCTTCTAGGAACATGACTAAGTGAAATCAATATTATAAAATACATTTTGAATTACAGCTTTTCAATACCTGAAAGGGAGATTTTAATCTGTAAGTTTATCATAGCTGTCCAGTTTAGCAAATATCAAACATTGCATTTCACTCTATATTCTTGGTCCTACTTTACAAATGTTCAACCAAGAAAATATATTGGGTTTTGCCCACAGGCATTTTTCAAAATATTTAACTTAAATCAGAGCTTCTCATGCTATATTGGTTAACTCATCTACAGAATCTTGGTATCAGGGCTGTTGCAATCAAAACAGAGGAAGTAAATAAAACCAGGTCTGTGAGGAGAAGCAATACTCTTCAATAGACCAAATGTTACATTTTCCACAGAAAAGCATTCAGACTCAAGCTTTCCTTAAAGTGAGAACCCGAAATAACTAAGAAACTTTTGGGATCTTGTAATCTCATTTTGTAAAAATACGAAATTCCTGGATTGTGGCCACAGAGATTTGACAATTTTCAAAGACATCGCTTCCACAGAGTTTTTATAACAGCTGTAGTGAGGCTTTTTTTAGCCAAATGCCTGTAATACATGTTTATCTCCCTTGCAGTACTGAGCCAGATGTCAAGTGGAAGGCTTGGAGTGATTTTTTTTCAGTTAGATTGATTGAAAGTTTTTCTGTCTTTCCAGTATGCTGGTGCGGGTAAGAATATACTTTTAATAACTTAGAAAATACCAGTGAAATCTGAATAAGTGACTACAGTTAGAAAGAAGGGTTGATGCATTCAATCATAACAAGAAACATTATCAGCATATTTTAGTATCATCAAGTATTTTAACCCTTTAAACAAAGAGTTTCATTAAAAATTCTATAATGTGGCTTCAAAATATATGTCATGAATTGAAAGGGAAAATCAGTGTATCTTATTTTTTGTCAATTTCCTTGTTATTAGGCTGGCTGAAGGACTGAAATATGTTCCTTAATATCTCTTTGCAACATGTGGAAATCATTGACCTGCACTTTGAGATTAATGGGAAGATCTCAGATGGAGTTGGGGCTTAAACAGAGGTAATGGAAGTCAACCTTCTGGTGCTTTTCTGAACACAATCTTGCATACAAGAAATATAGATCATGTTGCAAAATGCAAAAACTGAATCTACTGCATGATGGTCCATTATTTTATTTTTGATATTCCATATTTCAGATTCCTTTTAAGGTTTTTCCTTCTTGAACTGCAATTTTAGTACATGATTTTGTCCAATAAAAGCTGCTTCTGCAAAGAATCATCATGGAGTAGGTAATGTTATACGTGCAAACGGAGTTGTAGTATATTCTGCTGTACCTTGAAAGTGCAAAATTCTTGTACTTTATGATCTCAGAGGAAGCAAGCAGCCCTTCTGTTCCAAGTCAGTCTCCATCAAAGTCCTGTAATGCACATTAATGCAGTGTTCCTAAGGGAATGCCATGGTGATATTTATCCTTGCTCGCCTACTAAGAAAATCCCTGCCAAGCAGGAGAGGAAGCATCTGTATGCGTGGTTGAATGACATTTTTATGCTAGCAGATATTCAAGGGCTCTGAAAAGATTCAGATTCTGTAGGAAATGAGTTTGAAAAAAAACACCTGAGGAAAGGCCATTTGACTTTTTTTCCCCCTTTAGTTTGGGGGCTTACCTTGACATTTAAAGTAATAACACCATCTGCAAAATCATGTCTTATCCAGGAGTGCCATTATAACAAGTTGAACTCTTCCAGATTGGATGAAATAACAACTTAATTGTGGTCTTAACAGATTTCCCAGTTGCTTGCTGCAATCAGACCTACCTTTTTAACAGTCCTCATTGCTCATTAATTACATTTCCTCTCTTAATTTCTCCATTTCTTTTCTATTCCTTGAGGAGTATGGAAACCAGTACAACTAATCACCTCTGAATTATGTATGTGAATCATCCCAGAAACACGTGGTTGGGATCTTTCTCTAGGTCAAGAGGCTATTTTAGATACAGAATAATTTCTCATCTTGTGGTAGGGACTTATTGTGACCTTCAGTTCATCCAGAGGCTGTGTTAACAACTGGCTCTTAAGCAGGAATTTTCATTCTAAACTAATTAAGATGTCCTAAATCTCTAACTACTATAAATGAGAAATAATTTGAGATGACTGACTCACCTGATCATTCTTTTCTTTCCTATTAAATGTATTTAAACTCCCTGAGCGCTCTACCAAATGGACTTCAATTAACCTTGCACCCTGACTGCTATGATTGAATGGATGGGGATACTTTTCTTATACCATGTTGCATTTTGAAATAAGTTTCTAGTTTAAAGATGTTACCTGGCACAATGCATTATTTATGTGATTGTAACAGAGTTGTCATATGCAAATAGAAACACAATTAGCAGCAGAACAATGCCTAAAACAGGTATCTGTTTTCTCTAATAAACAAATTCAATGCAATAGTTTAGCAAATTATTTCTGAGTAGCGCAATACAGAAGGATTTCAAAATATAAAAATGTTGCATTTCTATCCTAATCCACAGATTTTTCATTGTCTTGAGTGGGATTCATTTAGTTTTTATATGAGTCTTTCTTTGGCTTACCATAAAAACAGTGATATAGTCCATTTTCATATCTATCTCCAGCTGCTAAGAGTCAGAGGGTTTTTGGGTGCACAAGAAGAAGATTATATCTGATCTGGATATATCTTTTGTTTTTGTAGACCTATAGATCCAGTCAAGTAACTATGGCTTTGCAAGCACTTGCAAAATCCACAGAGAATCCAGGCCTCAAGTGTTGTATTCTTTCCTGTGGAACACAAAACCAAATTAAAAAATAATTTTTTCAATAAGAAATTTTCTGAAGAGCCATGAAAGCTGAATTCCAACGACTGACTTTGATGATAAAATGAACCAAAAAGGTAATGGGAAGCAAAGCTTTGATTGACCATGTTTATGCTTTATGCTGCATGGTTTCCTTCAAATTGTCGTTTTCCCTGTGAAATCCAACACCTGCCAAGAATTAGAAACACAGCTATGGATGCAAAGGTGTGTTGGAATATACGTGTATTTATTTCTATGTACATTGAGTGAATTAATAAACATGCAGTAAGGTATATTTTCCCAACTGTATTTTATTTATCATGCAACATTAAAAATTATAACATATGCTATATTTTTCTACCTAAAAATGTAGATTTCCTTAGTTCTGAGTGATATTTTTTTATGTAGGAGATTTCACTGTTTCTTGAAGACTTTTGTGACCCAAAATATTAATTATTCTCTACATAGCTGCAATTATTGATATATTTTAAAAAGTAAAATCAGTACATGTGAAATTATCAACCATCTAAGTCTCTCTCAATCTATAAATCTATACAATAAAACAGCCAGTGTGAAACCTTGTTAGTTTGACAACAGATAGCCACAGTGAAAAGCTTTACTATTTGCTGATATGTGATTTTCTTATATGTTGATTTGGAAGAGAGCACTCAGATCCCTTGGATATTTGTGATCTAGTCCTTGCTATCACAGAACCATATCAAATTGCCAGTTTCATAAATGCACTAAATTTATGAAGTAGTAACTTTAAATTCAAATTGGAACATACTTCCATAATTTCATCTCTGTGATATCGAGAAATTTCCTCATTTCTCACCTAAATTTATTCTCTGCTAATTTACACAAACTCGTCTTCCACAAGCATTATGGAACTTTTTGTTTATGCTTTCTTTCTCCTATGTATTTATTCTTGATGGAATAAAAAGGAAATTATGAAAATTATGGAAAGAAATATCAACTGTAAGGTGATGTTTTATTTTGAAGTTATATTTAAAATAAAAATAAAAATCCAATTCACCAAGCTACTATTTTTTAGTATCCATACTCTATATACTTAATATAAGACTCAATGCACAAATACAAAATGGTGGTTTTAATTACATACTACAGTTATAGTAACAGGTCTTTGTGTCTAAGGAAATATTTTTAAGATCTTCATGGCTAAAAGAAATTTAACCAGGAATATGAAGTATCAGGAACCCATGAAATCACAATCTTCACAGTAATTAAATGTAACTCTACACAATTACTTTTGACAAAGCTAATAACAGTGAGCTTCATCCACGATATGGCTACAGCCGTTGTGCATCTGGAGAAAGGGTCACATTCCTGTAAGCCTCAATAACCCAGAGAAGTCTTAGACATGCAGGCTCCTTCAACAAAATAGAAGGATAATGTGTCTGAAGAGCACTTTGATTTCAAGCGTTCTCCAAATATTTTATCATGACATGAGCAGTTCATTAATTAAATAAATTGTCTCCTAACTAAATCAAGTTATTTGACACACTCTTCAAAATCCAGTTTCTTGGAATTCTTGTTTGCTGGCAGGGAATACTAGCAAACGAAAACAAGATTGAAAACATTCATTTGCCTTGGTTACAGCACAACCAGCTTTAAGAAGTCAAATAAATGTTGGTGTGTGTGTTTGTATGGTTCAGCTTAAAACTTTCTACTACTACCAAGTATAAATAGAATGTAAGTTCTTTTTCAATTTACTCTTATTTGGTTTTACTCCATTTCCTTGTCAAAACATTAGCAATATGTACCAGTTTAAGCTTATATCTAAGTTGCAGAATGCAAAAGAAAAATGACAGCTAGATCAGATATCATTGGTAACTTGTTATTTGTACACTTTACTTAAAATTATTGACTGAATGAAAGTCTTTAATCAACATACATCTGAAAAGCTGACATAGATGAAACGGCAAAAAACTAAAAATATGAATTAATCTTTTCTCTTAGTTATTTTGGATATGGGTAATTCCTCTAGCAGATTTATGGGATGTGACTAGTGCATGTAAGCATTAAAAACTAGAAGTTTTTTCCAAGATTTGAGCTAAAAATCTCAGAAAATTAGATCTAACCAAATCTCTGCTTCTGAAGATGACAATGTAGAACCTAGAAAAAATATGTAAATGTTTAACAATTCTTCAAATAAATATCAGATTTTACTTTAAAATTAGTAAGGACTCAGATTGCTCTTATTTTATACAGTAGCAGATTCTCCTACAATGGATAATACTTCATGAACTTGTCTCTTTCTTTAGTGTCACTCTGTGATATAAATAAGTTACAATGAGTAATTCTTTCAAACTGCTTTGTTTATGTCCAGTCATGAAGTCTAAAATAATGGTAGCTACCCAGGGAAATGCACATTAGAAAAAAATTCTTGACCAGTCAGAGCTAGCCAAAAAGAATGCTCGTTACTCAGCTGAATTTGGAAGACTCTGGTTCCTGAACCTGTCAAACTCCTATACCAATACACAGCTCTTGAGAAATGTAATCACACAATGCAGGTTACAACAGCTTGAAATCTGCCTTAAATTTTACCAGAAAGAGTGAAGAAGTCCTTGAAACTATAATATTTTCTGCTGTGGTCTTCTGTTGCAGCTACAGAGTAAGGCTGTGGCTTTACTGAAGGATAAGTTCTCCTCCATTGATTTCTTCACTTTTTAACAGGAAATAATTTCATAGTCTGTATGCATTATAATTATGTAGCATGCTGTTTTTACACTGAGAACATCATTCAACAAACAAAAATTCATATAAAACCTAATATGTCTTTGAGGCAGAATTTCTGATAGATTTCTCTCAGAGAATTGTTAAGAGGTAATGTAATTAGAAATATAACATAGAACTTTTATATGGATTAGTTCTTTTTACAGGAACAGGTTTTCTAGTGGCCATGGACTTTCTTACTAATCATATCCTGCAAACCTATTTATAAAGCATAGGCAAGGAAAAGTCCCCTTGAAATGTCATTCTGACTTTACCAGGTGAAGTTCTGTTTGTTCCAACACCAAAAAGCAATCTAATTACCTCATATATGATTCCAGAACCATTCAGAACATTGTAAATCTGAAAAAGCTATTCAACAGTGCTAAGGCTAGGGAAATGAAATTTTGAATTAGCCATTCTTTGGGAAAATACATTTAAATGGAGCCTGAAAGTTACCAAATGGGCAATACCCAATTAAATTGGATCTTTACAGAATCAAACCCCTTCTCTATGAAAGTAGGGTACATTGAGCACTTGTGTTCTCACCTGTACTGAACAGAGTATGAATCATAAATCAAAGAGCGATGACCCAAGTAGTCCACTCAGCTGGATTTCTTTATTCCTGCCCAGCAGTAGACTAATGATCCAGAAGGTAATCCCTGTTGTAATCCTTTAGCTATGGATGAAAGGAGAGGCTCAGCCCCTTAGCATCACTGGTATTACACTTTAGTATGACATTTTAATATACACAACATAAATACACAAATGAGTGCTTGTCTGGCTTTCTTCCATCTTCTTTTTGAAGAATTAATGTGGATGACAAGCCAGTGTGTGAACTATACTACTTACTACTGACAGGGCAAGTCAGAGGACATATAGCTGTTTTTACCCTAATCTCCCCGATAGTGCGCTAGGGCTTCGGTGTGAACTGATCTCCGTTTTCTCCTCCTTAGGCTGCCAAAAGTCAGCAAAGAACCAGGGCTGCTCCTGCTACCACATGTCTGTCCAGAATCACAGAGGATGGAAGGGCAGCATGAGGGCTGCGTTTGTCATTTCCTTTGGCTGCAGATTAAGGAAGTTGAATTAAAAATATTGGCTATAGCCATGTAAAAAGGATGCAGAGATCTAGGTGAAACTACCCAGTAATGTGGGCAGTTGCATTTTTAAGAATGGAGTTTTGCTTTAGATTGAAGTGCCTCCCCCTCCACTCACTCCAAAAAAGATACCCAATAGTGCTAAGCGATTCTCTTTTCTCAGCTTTAGAAAACTCACAAATGTTTGAGAAGCAACAACAAAAAAAGTAGCCAGACTGAAAAAACAGCTCTTGCAAGATCTTCAAGACAGACCCGCAAAACCACTAGTCACTTTTCCTAAATGTCTGCAATATAGAAGAGACTTTCAGATTCAGTTAGCAAACAGTAATTTAGGAACATTCAACTCATTACAGAACATGGGCCCACTGGGCATGGGGCTCCAGCACAGTCTTGGAAACATGGATTCATTTATAAGACTAGACAAGACAAACTGTTTCTGCAGCTGAAAAAAGCGGGGCTGAGAGGGAAGAGTAGTCTATAAATACATCTAGGAATACATAACCCTGAGAAGAGTAATGGAAATCCAACAAAAAGGAGATTCAGATGGTAAGAAATGTTTGAAAAGGTGTGGGTCAGTTTAGGCTGCCAGTAAAAAGAAGGTTCCCAAAAAGTACAGCTGCTAGATCTGTGCAGCAGCAGAACTAGGGGACAAACAACCCAGCTGTGCTCCTGAGGGCTAAGTTAATGAGTGAACTTATGTAATGTGAGGTCCTCTGACAGCAAGAGATGGCTATTTCTTCTCAAAGCAAGAGTCTTAAACCTACAGGGAGAAACAGCCCTGTATGAGCTGAGTTTGACATCAGGTAGTTTTCTGAAGACATAGTCTTTACCTGCTCTACCTCCACATTTACTGGTTTCTTCTTTCTTACTACAAGCACAAGACCACAGCTCTGGCACCAGCTTTGGAACTCCAAGTACAGTGCACTGCTGTGGAAGGAATCATCAGATGGGACTAAAACTTCTGACACCAAATCTTGAATTTCTCAAACTCTTCTTTTTTTTTAGCCAAGACTCAGTCTTTCTGCATAAATTATATTTCTTTAGCCTTTTCATGAAGACTCTTCCTAGAATGCAATAGTTTGCTTTCTATACACCCTAATAAGAGAAAATTGCTTGCTTAAATCAGTGTGCAGATGTTCTGGCTGTGATTATGGGAAGAGGGACTGTCTGAAAAACAAAGATTAAGAACTGTGTTAGAATAGATACAAATGGTGATAAGACATCTGTCAAAGATACTTGTGACCATTTTCTGTGAAAAACAATTCAATGGTGTATAAAACATGCAAACAGCTAGGAGTCTTCAAGGCTTCCATATAAATGAATTATTCTCTACCAAAAAGCTGATGTTTAACAACTTGACACCTCCCAGTCAACAGCTTTGCTATTTGATAAACTACTGATGAAAGTTGCTGCTCTGAATACATTTCCTAAGTAGAAAGGTCTTCACAGATATAGCTCACCTAATAGAAGACAGTGACTGGTTTTAGATTTTCTTCTACTTTCCCATCACTCCAAAAACAGGATTTTTGTTGGATAAGTTCTCATTAGAAAACTATTAAATAACTGCATCTACATACTAAAAGCATTTCTATCTCATGTTTAGAAATGACTTAGGCTATTAGATACTGTGGTCTCACTGAAATGTTCAGAGCAGTTCTAGAAAAGGATACAGAAAATGAATCTTATGCACCTTTCTTGTGTACATTCTTCTAAGCATATTATTCTATGCAAAAGTTGATCTAACACTAAATAATCTACTCAATGGGGAATAACAACATAATTTACTCTTTTTTTTAATCTCATTATGGAAACAACCCTCATTCTTTCCCAAAAATATTCTCTACTGAAAATATTGTTCCTACCATGATAATGTTGATATTTAGATATGTATCTCTTTTTACTGTATCATTATTATTTATGTCACTTTTGGTTTAATTTTGAGTAATCAGTCATATTTTTATTTATAAATGTTGATTAATTAAGTTTTTGAAAATATTTATGCTCACAAGGAAAAATTGGGATTTTTCCTCTCCTTAAGTGGCCTGCATGTATCTGTGTGCAAAACTGAAATAAAACCTTTCCTGTTTGTTTACATCAGAAGAAGAATATGCATCAAATTATTCTCTGGACTTTTTAAAGATTGGTGTAAAAGATGGGTGCCTGGTTTCCTACTTCCAGTTCTAAACCAATTTGGCAAGCTGGCAAGCAATTTGTCTGGGACTGCTTCAGATCAGAAAAGCTGAAAATATCATGGTTGCCTGAGCCAGCGCGAGCCCCGGGAGGACACGCGTTCTGTTTGATGTATCCAAGAAGAGGATCTGCAGCCTTCCCTGCCACTCACACAGCAAATGGGAAGTCTCCAGCGGTAAGTCAGGGACTGTTTACTACTCCTACAAATCTGCTCCTATAAACCTGATGGTGCCAGGTCCTCTGCAATGCTCCTCTCCATCAACAAGGCCAGTAGTTCTTTAATTGCTGTGCTCTAAACTTAAATTCTGCTCTAATTGCTCTTCTCAAAAGGAAAGGTACATTCATACACCGACGTTGCAAGGCAACAGTGAGATTATTAAAGTGTGGCAAAGCCCGTGGTCAGTGGGAGGAGGGAGAGAAAAAATTAAGAAAAATAAAAGAGGTAGTGGAAAGCATAAGTAGCATCACTAAAGGCAGTTGGCAGCCTCTTCCATCTCCCTGCCCCAAACATCTTGCATGCAAATAAATTATTCCTGTATGCACACAACTCTTTCCATCTTTGGGGAGAACTCAATATGCCTATACATGAAATTGTAACTATTGGATCAAAGCTATCCATTTCCATAGTTTTAAACAGAACATTTTTCTCAGACTTTCAGGTGGAACAAACACTCATAGCCCCTCAAATCCATTTAAAATATCAGAGGAGCAGTTAGGGTTTTATTAGTTTTTAATGTGCTTTACTGGCTATAATCTTAAATTGTTTTGTCAACTTTTGTAATTCTCATGGTGTCATACACAATTCTGACTGTTCTTGAATGGATGATAGATGCACAGATGCACACAAGCATGAAATTCCTCTCTATGGATTTTAGGCCTAAAAAAGACCCTCTTCTAGCACTGGTGAAGACGCACTTAAAGGTGATTCTGAACCTTTCTTTAAGAGTTCCAGAGGGAAGCTTTAAAAAGCTAACCCCATTTGATAAAACAAAAACTAATTAGTTCTATCCTGTGAGACCACAGGTATTCCTACCATGTGTTAGAAATGAAATTCTGAAGCGATATGGTGAGATGTTCCTTTAATATATACCTCAATAACCCATCACAGTTTTATTCCTTCCCCAGTGGTTGCATTTTCCCTGCCAGTGGTGCTCTTCTAAAGCTCCTGGGTATTTTTTTCCTCCTAGCAGTTCTCCCAACACTCCCTTTGGAGCTGACGCATTCATTCTCCTAATTGAAATGTTTTGATTCCACTCTTAAGACATTTTGCAGATGGGCTTTAGGATTGGTGGGATATATCAAATCATTGACAAGATGAAAACTTGTGTCATTCAGTGAAATGTTACAATTTCTCTTCAATTTCATCATTTAATCTTACCCTGACCATTTGCCCCGGGGCATGAGGTGAACAATGTCCCCTCTTCCTCAATTAACTACTCTCACTGTATTAATTTGTCTTCAAATCCCCTATGGAAAGTCAAAGACAAAAGACAAAAGTATTATCCTCTAAGTTAGTGCCTCCCTTGTCAGTGCTAGGCTTTGCTACAATGTGCACAAAATTCAGCATATCAGGAAGGTAATACATTGGACATGAAAGACAATTTCTTCCATCAGATGCCTTATTGGTAAGCTGGAAAAAAAAATAATTAAAAGAAAAATTTAGGAAAAAATATTTCTGGAATTGTGTAGTCAAAAGTTTGATTAGTCTAATTTTTGATACTTTAAATTGAGTGAATTATATCCATTTTAAAAGAATTCTGTGTATAAAGACCATACGCAGCTTTGGTTTTCATTGGTTTTTTTTCACTTATTTTTTAATGACTGCATCTCACAGAAATACTAACATTGTTGAAACTACACTGAGGAAAATTTCTAAAAAATTATTATAGCATGTCTGTTAGTATCCTTCAAGTACTTACAAAGATGATTTTGCTTTCAGATGTTCATAGTATGATAGGAATTGGGGGTGGAAAACTAATTTTCAAAAGGCAACTTCAAAATTATGTATTTGGTGAAAATATAACTTTTGTGAAGCACTCATTGGCTTAGGCTAAAATAGATTCTGTCAAGGCTAGATAGAAATAGCAATATTAGCACCTGATCTGTGAAAGCTGGTTTTCTTTTGACATGCAGTTGCCAATATTCAAAAAAATTGCAAATCGGAGGGCTACATATTTATGAGAACCAGTCTCCATAAACCTAAGATTTTATCATGTTAGAAGTTTCTTTCTAAATGAGAACAGTAAACTTGTAAGTGAAACTTGCAAATCAGTTTTATCGCTGTCTATGTGTGCCTATGTATGATTTATAAATACACTTGAAATTCCAAATTGAGCTTGTAAGTAGGTCTGATAAGTTTTTCTACTTTCTACATCAGTGCTGTGACTCAAACAGCTGCAAATTTTCAGTTCCATGATCATCTACAACAATAGAAATCTACAGAAAAGAGGACCGTAGGTTTATTTAGTTGTCTTTCTAAAATAATATCCCATAAATCAGTTAAAAAATATTATCTCCCCCTATTACTACAGCACAGACAGCACTTACAGGAACCTCTGTTGTTCCAGGTAGCTGTAGCACTGATTCAAACCAGTAATAGGTTGCCATGATAATAAAATGATTTATTGTCTGCATATTCTGTAAATTACATTCATTCTGAAAAAATAGTAAACTGTCTTCAGGTCTATTTTATATATAAGCAATAGTTTCATCATCAAAGCTACAGACAATTAAATATAGAATTACTGATGACTTTAGGCATCAAACAAGTCAAAAGATTGCATTCTTTTAGTGCTTTGTCAGCCCCAGAGCATCTAAAACACCACTGAAAATAAAGGAGACATTTGTGGTCTTGATATAATTTATATGCTGTGAAATATTAAAAATGTGAACCAGAAGTAGAGGTACTGCTGGAGGTCAAAAAATTTTGAATTCTTATTAATTTTTTCTAGTTACTTGGTTGCTTGGTAAACTGCTAGAAAAGCATTTCTTGGCAATAACCTTCAGAGATCTTTGTAAAGCAGTTTTACACACTTTGGACATTCTTCCCCTCATGTTGTCACATGTTCTTTATGAGGCTGTCTAGAAATGGTTCCTTATTATTACACGTTTGTCTGAAGTTGGAACACACCTAAATTAAGCCAATTAATTAGTCATGATGGGCTCTTTTCAGCTGCACACTCATTTTCAAATGAATTTATTGAAGTAAAGGATTTACAGCATATGGACTCACAGACTTCTTATGAGTTAAACTGGCATCCATATGTACAGCTTTCAGTAGAGAATGCTAGAGTAATATTTACAATGTAAATATCAGCTTTTATTACGTAAGAAACAAATATATCACAACTTTCACTTCACAACATATTTGTTCTGGTTTGATGACTAAAGTCATCTCTTTGAAATACTATGTGGAACTCAAAAATAGCTTGTTCTCGTCATAGACTTTACCAGGTGTCCTTCAGAGGTCCTGAAAAGCAAAGGAGAGATGTGCTTTAGAAGTCACTTCTGCAAGCAGTTGCATCATGAGGTGTATGAGGGCAGACAGAAGGCATTGAGGAACACTTGATACAAAACAATTGCTGTGCTTGGCACTGGCAGGCTGAGATGTGGCTGCTCACAGGGGTTTGCTGGGCATCACACTCAGACCAGACCACAGGATGAGAAAAGAAAGGTTGAAGGACTAAAAATGTTACTGCAGATTAGACTAAATTTGTAACTACAGCACAGAATTGCCCACTTTGAAAAAAAACCTGTATCCTTGCCTTGAAATGGATACACAAATTCAGGCTGCTCTTTCCACACTACATTAGCAACTGGGCACTGCAATAAAAGCAACAGTCAATACTGATTCACCTACAGGTAGATCTGCCTCATCAGTAAAGTCAATAAAAATGGAAAGGAACTGAAAATGTTTTTTTCTATGACCTGCTGCACCACTATTCTTTCTCCCTTCATTAATGCCAGAACTTTAAGAAGCTGCAAAATCCAAGAGCAGATATTTCTTGCAATAATTTTGTCTAGGAAGAACATTTCTTTCCAGAATCATGCTGCTTAAAAATTATTTAATTCCTCAATGCATAAGCAGTTTATGTCCTTTCTAACCTTCAGGAGCTTTAGAGGAATTGCCACATTTGCAGAAAGGAAAAAAAACATTTTCTCATTTTATTTCAGACTTGAAAGGAAACGTCTTTTTTGGGTCAGAGGGATGGGTGGTTCGGGATGATACAAGAAAAGACATTGCTCCAAATTTTATCCTCAAGAATAGTTTTCTAATCTTTTTTCTTACTTTTTGAGACACAGCTGAATGCCAAAAACTATCCCATCTTCAATTTCATAATACTTTTTCAAGAATACCAAGCCAAATTTGCTTCTACCTTACTCTTTCAATATCTTGTTCCTGTAAGTGTTGATGTAGAAGGGATTATGTTTCAGTAAACTAAAAAGAAAATAATTGTGAATGACTTTAGAAAAAATAGTAGTAGCTAAATGGAAAACAGTAACTGCAAGATTTGCATATCAAGTACTTGAGTACTACTTCTTAGGTACTTGAGTACTACTTATCTTGCTGATACTCAATTCTAGGGTCAACTTCTTTCTAAAAAGATGTTAAACAAAATCTGCAGCATTTTTTTTAATTAAAAGAAATATCCTTAAGTTTGTTCTCTGAAGAAATAATGATCTTTGTAATTAAAAATCAGTCACTTCTGGTTTTATGCTGCAGAGCTCACTGGTAGAAACACCCAAGGGAGTTAGGTGCATTATGAACAGTGCCATTTAATTAGGAAGTTTCAATAGCAGCAATCATGTGATAACATAAAGCTTATTATTAAAATTATTATTTTATTCAGGCACAATGAGTGAAGAAATATTAGAAAAATAAAGCTTTTCATGGAACATGACTCCCTTTCCTAGGATATCCTTATTTTCTGATAGGCCATACTCCATGTATAAATAATGTAATTTTATGGGTCAAGTCAAGTTGCAGATAGCAAGAGAAAAGACAATATTGGCGTCTCACCAGTGGGAGGTGGCTCAGCAGCTCATCTACAGAATCGTAGTTTTCTGAAAAGGATGGTTCAAGAAGTTCTGCTTCATCTCGAAGTTTAGCAGGATTTAGCTCTTCCTGGCTGTTGTGGATCAGAAACAAGATTTATTGCTCTCAGAAGAAAAAGCAAAGAATGCAAAGCCTTCTTCTAACTGTAGCTTCTGCACATTCTCTTATACTTAAACCATAGTGTTACAGAACACATGAAATTGCATGTTTAGTGAATACAGAGACATGATACTTAAAAGCAGTTGTCTGAGTGAATATACAAACAGAGTACAAGGTCTACAAAAATGTATGCTGGCATGTCTCACCTATACTGATGAGGACATATAGTCCTTTAGGGATTTTCAAATTTTCATTTCATGTGTTCACAGAGAGGCAAATTTTCAACATATTTCTTTATTAAATTGTTGTTCATGTTCCATAGCTCTGTAGGTTTTTTCCTTAAGATTTTTTTCCAAACAAAAACTACTTAAGAATCTTTTGGAAGATTTTTTAAATTGCCAGATGCCATTTCCTCTTTATTCTTCTATTCTGATTTTGGTGTCTGTTCCAGTCTGGGAAGAAATGTTGTCTGTATTTGAAAACCACGCTATAAACTATCCTATCAAGTCATTAACATTGAGTGCCTTTTGTTTGTCCTCTCTGTACACATACAGGGATATAAACCTTTTCTGTCTTAATGCCATAGAAGTATGGAAAGAATACATATGTCCTTTCTTGTAGTACCTTCTTTTTCCAGTTAAAACTGAGTTTAAGTATTTCTTCACAGCCATCTGCTTTCGAAAGCGGCTGTAGTTGTCGGTGAAGACAGCATCGGAGTGGCGTTTGACAGGACTGTCCTGGGAGCTGGCAATACAACAATTACAAAGGAAAAGTTAAGAGATGACATCTGTTTAAAAGAAAATACAATTAAATGAGTGAAATAAGCTTTATGGTATTGATTAGCCTAACAAAATCAAATTTTCATTTCATCTTTCATTTCCATCATTGACTTCAGATCTTTCTTCTGCTGAAAAAAAGCCACTGCTTCCACGGCTTACTATGCATTTTAATAACAAGGATCAAATTTCAAAAATTGTTATTCAGCCTTTTGGGGAACACCTTTCACTGATTGTTTTCTCATCTCATTTGCCATGGCCTGTGCAATTAGGATACACAGTCAATGATTTCTAAAGTCCTTGTCCCAGGAGTTCTGCCAGATCAAATACTTAAGTGTGGATTTCATTACTCCTGCCTGTTCTCACACCCCAGGTTGCACCTTTTAATAAACAGATTTTATTCTAATTTCTATAATTTGTGTGAATTTATTTCAGTACAATGCCAAGGTACAACCTGGTTTAAGTTGCAATAAGCTCTTAAAGGACCTCATTACTGTTCACATTGAACTCAGTGGAGGCGGAGTCTGCCACTGAGGAAAGGTAGAGTGGAGCCTCACATAAATAGCTATAAATGCTTATTCTAAGGTTTCAGAAGACAAAACACACCTTGTGAAAGCCAAACCTGGAGGTCTTTTCTTCATGCACAATCTTGGGAAATGCCAGGGTGTTCTATTTTAAATGGTCTAAGTTAGTTTACAGCATATGAGAAATTGGAACTGTATGTTCTGGAACAAAGGCAGCACTGACATAATGGGAGGACCTAATTTCTACTTGGCTTTTGAGCATATGAAGTGGGCACTCAGTGGTATTGCCACAGTGGCTCACAGCTGCTGTTTATAGATTTGAAAACAAGGGAACTATACAGTGATTGTACCTAGCACGCTGTGCCCATTAGTTTATTGATGTCTTAGTCTGGAAGTTGCATTCAGATCCCTATTCTATAAATTTGCCTCATTTTTTGAATTCTGCTGCAATACAGATCTCACAAACATCTGTCGATGTGTTCTACAGCAGAAAAAAACCCTATACCTTTACATTTTTACTATAAACCAATCATTTAGTGATTTCATTGTGTACTTCCCTCTTGTTAAGTACTGAGTAATCAATCACTTTGTATTTACTTTTGCCACTCGTCCACCAAGCTAGTAAAAACACTACCGAAAAAAACAATTAGCAGTTTGGCATGATAATCATTATACTATTTCCAGGACACATTATCCACATTTTGTGCAGTGTCTGTTGCTCTAACTCTCACAGCTGTGTGAGAAATAAATAGTAACATTCTCATTTAGTAATATCACTAAATACTTTTATAGGATTTTCAGCTCCCCCACAATTATATAGGCTTCTCTTTTGGTACCTCTAAATCACAAAAAGGAGACCTTGGATACAGTAGGGTAAAAAATATTTCCAATAAAGCCAGCTAGGAAAAAAAATCTACCTAATGTGTCACCTCACCTAACTCGTTTTCTAATAAGCGAATGCAGATATCTCTTCACAGCAAGTTTAGCCAAAAGATGGCTGTAGACACTGGTGAAAATTCCATCAGCATGCCTTGCATTTCTGAAATGGACAATAAATAAACTCTACAATACAGCCTGGGTTCATATAATTTTGATAATGTAATTTTTGCAAACATACTGCTTTCCTTAATTTAACTACTGTTCATGTTAAAGGGAACTAATTTCATAAAATAACTTTCAGATTTTCGCAATATACTTTTCACTTCTTTCCTGGAAAGTGAAAGCATTCATCATGCCAGAATGGCAACACAATCAACATTTCTGCCAACATCCCTACTGCTACCAGTATTCAAGCAGCGGCTGTGGGATTTTCTTCCATAACTGAGTCTTCCTTTCCTACTCTCAGTTTGAAAATGCGAGTGATTTTTTGGCAGAAATCAAGTAGTCCATCATCTTTTGTATTTATGATAATAAAGAAACTCACCTATCAATAATTCTGGACAGATCAAAATAGAATTTCTCATTTTCAGGTAGTGTGTTCTGCAAAATATCTGATTCTGACTTTAATGACCCACGGGCATGGTCAGGTTCACTGGCTCCATCAAATGGCATTCTGTTTCCCAATCTGTTGGAGAAAGAAACCATGTAAAGTAAAGCTGGCTGAGGATATGAGACACTTTACTGGAGACAACATTCTGGTTTGTGTCAAAATGCACATCTACCTACTTTCATTGGTAAGGCATTTAAAAGAAAACTGGATAATTCAAAATCACTTTCAGGTAGAATCCATGCTTAATTGTAGATTAATTGACATAACAGATCCTTCTATCAAATTCATATTTTCTAGATAAATGTTGTCACTGAACGCAATTTATTCCAGTGCATAATGTATGACAATCACAGTACAAGTGACAACTGTGAAGCTTCTCCTAACAACTGCATTTTGTATAAATGATGGATGAAATTAACAGCCTCCACCAAAGTGAAAACTGCTCCTGTGACGTACTTACCTCCCAGTTAAGATATAAGATGTGCATTGAAATGCAGAATGAAACAGTTCTTAGGCCTTCTCCAAAGAAAGCAAATACACCAAGAACTTCAAACTAAATAAAAAGTGCAGTCATGTATCTCTACATGTTTTTATTCTCTCATGTTAGAAGACAAAAAATCTCTTAATCTCTTCAAATGCGTCATGGCAGTTGCTCTGTATAAACTGATGTACAGTTCACATTTTCGTAAACTGCAGTTTCTTATGAAGTGTCATATTTTATCAAGGGCAGTCTGACTGCATAGCAGTGGCTTGGCATCATTCCTTCTGGCTGCTCTGATATTTTGTGGCAGACAAGGAAATCATTGTAGGAAACCCCTGCGTGTGATGACATGCAAAAGTCACACACTAAAACTAAGATAGACTTAAGTCCTTGTAATTTTAAAGTCACCTTTATCACCGTTTATATGTCTGATTCATGTAAGTCTTCCATCTGGTAAAAAAAAAAAGGTGCAAAGTTGCTGTGTAAAACGAACAGGCTCAATTCACACCTTTTGGAAGTCATTCAGTGCCTTTTTGCCTGTTTTTCATCGGTCCTTCTACACTGTATGCTTCTCTCACCTAAATGCAAACCGTACCGTTCTGCCATCTGATTTAATTCAGCCGGACCACTAACAGCACCTTCAACCGGCCCAAGCCCGCAGGGGTACAAACCTGCCCTCCGCCCTGTCCCCATGGACCGTCCCGGGGCTCACCGTGGCCCGCATCCCGTCCGCCCCCCGCGCTCACCGCGCCCCAGCCCTCGGGGCAGCGCTGCTGCAGCCGCCTCGGGAGGAGCGGCCGTGTCCCGGGGCTTTCACCGGCTGGGCTCGGCGGGCACCGCCCGGGACCGCCTGACCGCAGCCCCGCGCACCGCCCGACGCCGGGCAAACGCCCGACGGCCAGCGCCGCGCTGCGCGTTCCCCGGGAGGAGCGCGCTTCTCACAGCCCCTTCGGCACCGGCCGGGGCTGGGCAGGTCCCTGCGGGCGGAGGGACGCGGATCGGGGCGCAGAGCGCGGAGCGGAGCGCGGCCTTACCGCGGGACGGGAGGGAAGGCGGCGCCTCGCGGGGGCAGCGCCCGCGCCCGCCAGCAGAGGGCGCTGAGGAGGGCGAGGGCGAGGAGGAGCGGGGAGGCGCCGCGGTGCTCCATGGCCGCCACCTGCGGAGGGAAGAGCGCAGCCGTCACCCTCCGACCCGGCCCGCCCGCACCCGCTGGCACCGGGGCTTCGTCTCGGGCTGCCGAGAGACTGCCCTGGTCCCCCTCCCAAGCCAGGTCTCTGTCCCGAAAGGCGCCGGCGGCCAGCAGGGTCGCGATGGTGGGGCAGCCGCCCGCGGTCAGGTAGAGCTGGCATCCCCGAAGGCGACCCCCGGCCCGGTGCGAGGGACAGCGGTGCCCAGGGCTCAGCGACTTAAGCAGCAGCAAGAGAGGGTCCCGCCCTGGGTGCCCCGGGCTTTCAGAATCTCTCCCCGCTCCCCGACGGCCGGGGTGGCTTCCCTGCAGGTCCGGGAGGGGCGAAGACGAGCGAGGGTACGGGACGGGTTCCTCATGGGCTGGGAAGTTGCCGCTGCGGCGGGGAGAAAGTTACTCACGGAGCCGCGAGTCCGTCGGTGGGTCTGGCCGGGCGGGCGCGGAGCGGAGCGATGCTGGGGGAGTGCGCCCTTCTCCGCTGCGCGGCTGCCGGGGCGGCGGCAGCAGAGGGTGAGGAGGAGGAGGAGGAGGATGAAGAAGAGGGCTCCGTCTCGCCGCACGCTCTGAGCTGCCCGCCGCGCCACCGCGTTTTATAGCGTTTACACGTTTCGGCTTCCGAAGCAGCAATCACGTTACTGGAGAGACGTCACCCTTCCCAAGGGGACGGTCGCTTTGTTCAGGACAGTCAGAGACTTATATTTAACACATGAGCAGCCGCGTACCTCTTCCCCCTCCCCCTCACTCCCTCGGCCATTATTTGATTTATGTTAATGACATAGTTTTGGAGGAGCGGAGCCCCGTCGGAGGGGTGATTCCGCCTTGCCAGGCGGGAGAGCCGGCGGCCGTCGGGCTCTGCGGGCGCGCCACACCGCGCATCCCTGCCCGCACCCGGCATAGCCGGAGCGAAGGTGGCTGCGCTCTCTGGGACCCTCCGCTCCCAGCCCACACTCCCTCAGCCCCCGTGCTTCCCTGAGGAGCCCATTCCGCGCCGCAGGGTTGCTCCTTTCCCCAGCTCCTCGGCAGTGTTTCCGTGCTAACCTGGTCCCTCTCCATCCCCGGCACATGCAAGTCCCTGATGGGGGTTCCTGCCCGAGGTGCGCAGGGAGCTGGTCTGGAAAACAAAAATTTCTTGCGGGTTTTAGTTTTATTTTGGCAGGTGTTGGGGTGCTTTCTACTCTTCTTGTTTAAACTGCGTGCGTGTTCGTGGAGCACGGATTAAGCTCCACATCCGAGCGCCTCTTGGTGCCGCCGAGCCCGGCCGTGCTTGTGACGGTTCCGCTGCGTGGGCGCGCAGGGAGCGCGGCTGGAGCGTGTGTTAAACCCCCCTGAGCAGCGGGGGGGATCAGCTCTTCCTTATAGGGTGTCTTAAGCCCAAACCTCGGGGATGCCACAGCAAGGGAGAATGGGTTTCAAGCCTTTGATTTTTCTCCTTCGAATTTTGCCTGCCTCAGAGAGATCTGGGCAGCGGAGAAAGAAACACAGGGGAAGTGAGCGTAGGAGCCGCGGGCGGGCCGGCAGGACGGCTCTGATCCAGCAAGGACCTCTTCACTACCCCACCGTGTCTTTTCGGTGCTGCCCTGAAATATTTGCCAAACCTTCGCGGAAGAATTTCAGCTGTAAAGATCATCATCCATTTTTTTTTCTTTTTTTTCTTTTTTCTTGAGTTTTTGTGCCTCTAATCCTCCTACTCATTAGGTAACGATTGTACCTAATCCATACAGAAGATTTCACCATTTCTTCTTACTTCTAATAAGTTTTTCTGCTTCATGTTTCACTAAAGGTTAGGCAGGCTCAATGCCGAAGATTCTGCGATGCTTAATCACATTTTCTAATTCAGTTACATAAAGAATAAGTGAATTAGATTAAAAATGCCTGGAAATTTGTTTCTCGGATGACAGCTATGAATAAAACCAGAGTTCCTGCAGTAGTCTAATTTCAGGAAATTTTCCCCTTGTTACTACATAACTAGGGGTCGAAGGAGCTATTCTGCTCCGGAATGGCGGGATGAGCATCAATGGCACCGAATTCCCCTCACCTCAGAAATATCCCGGCTAGGGCGCATAGGCTTTGTGCAGTGTGCACGACCCGGGGGAGCGCGGTGGTCTTCACTCAACTACTCGCAGGAGGAGGGAGGAAGGGCAAAGCCATCTCCTGGTGGCGCAGGGACGCGTGGCTGGGGCACGGCCAAGTGTGCGGTTGCCCAATCTCCTGGCCTGGAGCGGCGAGGGACGAAGAGAGGCTGCACCGGGACCCCGCGGCCAGGGCGGGTCCGAGGGGGCCGCGGCTGCTCCCGCTCCCGCTCCTCAGTCCCGGTTCCCAGCCCTCTCCTCCTCCTCCTCCTCAGTCCCGCTCCCGCCGAGGGCGCCGCTGCAGGAAAAGCCAAAGGCTGCTGGCAGCAGGAAGCGCAGAAGAAAGAAGTTTCCTCCCAGCGCTAGCAAGCCTGAGCTAGCGCAGCCTGGAGAGGGGTCTCGCAGGAGTCCTGCGGGCTGCGGTCCCTGGCAGGGAGGAGGGGAGCAGCCAACTCGGTCTGAGGGATACGTGAAAAACAAGTCTGCTGTCAGTCGCTGTGTATGTGCGGTATGGATGGATGGCTGCGTGCTCTGAGGAGACCAAAAATTGGACTCACTGGCAAATCAGGGCTTTCTTACCATGCTGAACCATTTGGGGCTGTGATGTACTGCACTGCACCCTTCCATACCGTACCTGGTGAATATGATTTGCTGTAACTTTTGTTTTTGCAGGTGGTACACTAGGTCGGACAACATGCTGTCAGGCCAGCTAAAGTGGCCTCAGAACTTCTCTAGGGATGACAGTGTTGATAAAGAAACCTCTCTAGGGGTCCCTTAACGATCTGAGAAATCTGTAGTGCATCTAATCTTACAATACCATCTATTTTTTCCCTATTCTATAGATAAGAAACTGAGTCAGGGTGATCGAGTGGTTCCTCTTGTTTACTCGGGAAGTCTCCAGTGGAGCTTTGAATTGGCCCCAAATGCCCCAAGCACCCTTCAGTTGCACTAACAACTGCCTCATTTCCCTTCAGCATCCTGTTGCAAGCCACCATCTCCTCTTCTTGAAGACAAACTGAGGAAGAGATGGCACCTCCCCCTTTCTCCTTAGTCCTTCCTCACATTTCTTGAGAGGATTTTCATTGAAGGAGGTTGGTTTGGGATGACTGACAAGGGTTTGGGATGGCAATCCAAATTCTATCTTTTCCAATTATTTTCCCCCCCAAAGCTTACATACACTACTATTTCCACATTTGATAAGAGTAAGTCATTAAAAGAAAAATAGTTCTTTATAAACAGACAGATGGAGAAAAGACCCTTTTCCACTGACGTGCTAAGTGAGTCCTCCAAGATCTAGGCAGATGAACCCTTTTCAGATGGTAGCTCTCACTGTTACTGGAAAACCTGTGCCCTTTCAGGAAAGCATCATTTGGGAAAAAACAGTGCTCAAGAGCCCAGGACAATAATTAAACACAGGCAACTCCTGGGAAATCAAGTATGTTTCAGTGGTTTTTACAGGAATCCAGATGCACAGCACCCTCTGTTCACATTTACTGAAACTTTTACCTGTATTTTATGTGTTATCAAATATCTTTTGGTTACTCTCCATTTTTGCTTTAATTTCTTCTTTAATGTTCCACTTAATGAAACAAAAAAATTAAAAAAAGTTACAATTATATTAAAATAAAAAAGTTACAATTATAAAATTGCAATATTTAGGAATGATGGAGAACCAATTAGACAAAATGGACCAAAGAGCAAAAGTTTTCTGAAAAATTGTCTTACCATTTGTGTACAAACTTATGCAATGTACATAAATCAAGTAATACTTAAAATAGCTAAATCATCTGGAGTAAGAAATTTGGGAGTTCTAAGGTTTGTTAGTCAGATTTGCTAACTATTTTTAGCATGTAGAATTGTTCTGAAATTGATGTGCAAAAAATCTCTTAAAGCCAAATCCTTAGAAGAGAGAAACCAGTTTATTTCCATGAAGGACCTGCTTAGCATTTACCAAATTTATCATGTAATTGTATTTGAAAAAGAGAATTATATCAGAAATAGGATTAACATTTTGTTTAGGGAAAAAAAAGAGATAAAAATACTAAGAGACTTGTTTTAGGACTTTCATATTCTATCAGAAAAGGAAACTTCTACTGACTCATGAGCTCTCTCTTACGAATCATTGGGTTAGCAGAATGTCCCCTGTGCATTACAGCTCATGTTGCTGTGGATGACTTCAGAAACTCTGCCTTTGATCCCATAGCCACAGCACATTGATCCATGAGTTTTTAGAGCTTATAGAGCAGATTGATGGTGCACTACTAGTCAGCAGCTAACATAACAGCTTTTTCATCTTTTACAAAAGCAATAACAGGAAAATTCAAGAGGCTGTGTATGAAGAACAAAAAATACAACCAAAAACTGATAAACTAATGTGGCCTTCTCTAATCCTTTAATGGCATGATTAGCATATTCTCCAATACCTGCTTTCACCATCATGTTGCACTGCTGGATCCCACTCTCATAAATGTTCATATTCCTCAGTATCACCTGGTTTGAAAAAATGGATGAAGTGCTGAAACTTTTCCCAGCATCACTTTCTTGGCAGCTGTCTCTGAATGCTTCTCAGAAGAGATAAGGAGAAAACCATCAGTTTGTTCTTTTAGATAAGTTTATTACAGAAGTACAATCCACATACCTTTAGCCTGAGTGAGTTCTGCAGACTCAGAAATGTGATGCCAAGCAGAATAAAACACAGACAAATATTTTTAAATTACAAACTCATGAGTTGCCTTCTGCAACAGAAACATTCAGGAGAATAGTGCTTGTCTCCTCAGATCCCAGGCTGCGGGAGGGTCACAGGTGGAACATGGGAGCCTTCATTTCCTCTCTCACCCTTTTTGAGTCCTGCTTTCAGGTCAAAAGTGTGGATTCTCACAACAGACTTATCAACTGAAGCAAATTCCTGCAACATGTAAATTGTATTAACAAACATTATCCTGTCTACACCACTTGAACAAGTTCCTCCTGTTCCAGGTGGTACCTTTGCATTATTAATCTGCGTGGGTTAACAATTTTCAAAACCAGCTTTCAAAACCACTGAACATTTGGATTATGCCCATGACTCCCAAACAGACTTTCACCGCTTGCATTCGTATGTCTGGGTATGTCACCAGCATCCATATCAGAGACCTGCTTGATTAAAACTTCTGAATAGATGTAATGATGAGCAAAAGGCATGCAAGAGAGCTGCAGACTCCTGTGATACTTCCAAGGTTCTTTTCCCCTTGCCTGGCATGTTATCTGGGAAAACTCCTAATGCTTCTAGTATAGTTCTGTGTTTTCATATCACTGCTCCTCCAGCCCAGAATGCAATCTCAGCTTCTCTCAAAGACTCCAAAGCGGTTTGGGAAGATATTTGGTTCTCCTTATGCTTCTGTTGCCTGGTATGTGTGAGGACTATTGCTTCATGTCCATCTGGTTCATGATATGCAGCTGTCCTAGAAGTGTCATTCCGAATTCCTTCTCATTCTTTAGCATGGATGGATGTCATGTTTTTGCCATCCCCCTCTCACTATCAGACATGTATTCTGCAATCATACCACTAGAGGATCTGTGACCACACAAGCTTTAACAGGAGCTTTAACA